TAAAAGGTTCGGATTAAAGCACCTGAACTTCAAGGTGTCTCATGGCATCCAGTTGTTGCTAGAAGGTCAAAGCAACGTGGTTTTCTATAGAAGCTGCCTAGAGATGATGGTAACGTTGTGTGTGAACAAACCAATGTTTTAATAGACTCTTATCTCCGGTTATCATCACTGCAGCGTGTTCCAGACAAACTTCATCAGCACCATCTTTCTGAAGGCTCACGCTCAGTTTCTGTCAGTAGTGAGAGGTACTATATTCATGGCATGAAATCACTGAACTGATTGCTGAGTTAGAAAACGTAGCCTTTGGTCTGTTTCATCTTTGCTCACCTTTAGCCAAACTTTTTACTTCTCAAGTGGCAGTGCTTTTTTTGAGTTGCACATCTCCTCTGACTGAAGTCTCCCTATGGAATTTATTGCGATGATTGGACTCATACAGTTGACGATATTGTGAGTACTCCCTGAAAGAACAACCCTAGGAGTCCAATTTTGTAGTGAAGTTTTCAGTAGAAGCTTTGGTCCAGACTATGGACGAAAGAAGATGGCCCTGAAAGCGTCAAATGTATGGAACAGTGAAGAGATGGGGAAAAAACAGCTCTTCAGGCTTGTGGGTCTATGTGGGTCTGCTTAAGTGTCATTTTGCAAAGCCTCTTTGGAGATATCAGCCTGTATGTGATATTCCTGCTTCACTCTGAAAATCTTAACCCAGTGCCTTTTGGGTTGGGTCTGCATGGAGCTTCTGAGGAATGTACACAAGTAAGGAAAAACAAACGTAGATGTGCTGTGAAAGTGATCTTTATGCATGATGTTTTTAATCTGCTAGATTATAGCAGTTTTAACCTTTAGTTTTCATAACTTTACGTTGGTAAAAATCAGCATGGAGAGTTATGCCTGCAGCAGTTTCTTGGTTACTCCTTAGAAATCCTTTCTAAGGAGCACTGCAGACTGGTGATGTGGCAGAGAACTTGAGAATACAGCTAGGTTTGTGTATTCCTACCTAGACATTACTAGTCATAGGTTTGATCTAGACTGGTTATTAGTCTGTCCAGTTTAGGACTCAGGTACCACAGTTGACCAGTGTAGGAGCTTGCTTAAATGACAAGAAAATCAGGTAACGGACATTACAAGGTAACTTGCTCATAGGCTTTTTTTCTCGATGGCAGTGTACTCTTGGGCAGTTTAAACATTTCATAGACAGCATGGATATAGTTAGGCCTGTATATCTAATGTACTCCTCTGACTTCAGCCTCTTCAGAGGTTTATGCCACTTTTGTTGCAATGGTATTGGAGAGTTTTTCAGATGAGCCATAAGCAGTGTGAGTAGCATCTGTTTAGGTTTACGTTTATCTCTACCTTTCTCCACGTTGGAGCAGTTCATCCAAGGAGAGTCTTGTTTTGGTAGTTGACTGTTTTGGGTTGGCTTTAACATAGGTATTGCTATCTCCTTATCTTGGCTAAGGCAACATAAAAAGAAACACTTGACCTGTTGGGTGAAAGTTGTGGCGAATTGCGATGGATTCAGAGCTAGAAGGGAGCAGAAGCGAAAGGACCAGAGAGGCTGCACAGTGGCAGGGATGACCAGGCAATAACAGGTGTAAAGCCTTGTACTTGTAGAGAAGGAAGCGGTAGATGGATGTGGAAACAGATAAGCAGAAAGAAAAAAGTTGAGTGTGGCCAATCCCCTTTAGCCTCTACCCTTCCAAATAATTCCTTCATATGATCACGCTCTATGTCTTCTGCAGGAGATGGGGGACAAATCAGCATAAGACAGCTACTTTTAACTAAAACTAGCCCTAGACAGCCAAACTGCAGAGAGCCCTGTGACCCTTAAGCTGTGCAGTTAAACTCATGATCGAGTTCGTGCTACGAGTGGAGCAAGGGAGTCATGAAGAGCTTGTGAACAGTTGTTGAGTATTTTCAACATTGACTTGATTTGTTCGGTCAAACTACGTTTGTCTGTATCTAAGACTCTCAATATGTTGAGCCTGTATAGTCCTTGAAATCTGTTGGGTTCCTTGTGCTGCTGTAGGAATATTTGAATCTGATCTTGTATTACAGAACTGCAGAAAGTTGGTGATGTGTCCAGCAACTAAGCCACTGGGTTGCTTGTTCAGAAAACATAATTAAATGGGACTATAAGTCATCATTTTATTATTATTTGTATGCACGCTGTTCCTCGGAGGTCCTCAAATTTGTACCTTTCCTCCTTGTTTTCATATCCTGAAGTGTCAGTTCCTCTTGCATTTCAAAAATATTTGTTTAACATTTTGCCAGCCTGCATAAGAGGAGAAACAGACCCCCACGAATATTGTCTGGCAAAATAAGAAACGTAGTGGAGGAATGTGGCCCGAATGGCTTCTTTGTCTCAGAGTTGCAGGGAGGCTGGAACACACACAGCAGTAAGCAGGTGCTTGATTTGCGGCTCTAAACATTTTTTTCTCTTCTTTATGTTTACTGCACATGCACTAGAAGGAGCTGTTGCTAGTCCAGTTGTGAAGGCCTTATCCCTGCCTTAGTTCTAAGGGAAACCTTGTTAGAGTAACACATGACACCAACACTGTCTATTTCAGAAAGAATCAACTTCGGGTGACTTGCACATAAATTCTTGTAATTGTTAATTTTTGGATACTCAAAAGATGTAAGGATGATCTATAGTGAAATGAAAGAGGTTTATTTAAAAAAAAGACATTTAAAGCAATGATTAGGCATCATTTCTGGTTTGTGAGGTCTAAGGTTTTTCTCTTGAATCAAGGGAATAGATATATTTTTTTTCCACCTTCATTCTATTGGAGGCTGAAGTTCTCCATGGTTGCTTGTCTCTAGGAGCTACGACTTCAAGAAAAAATGAAAATATAATGAGTTCAGTAACTCAAATCTGAGCAAGTTGTCAGCACTCAAAAAACATTAATATTCCTGCAGAGCAGGCTGGAGCCAATTTCAGGAATGATGTGTACTTGGTTGTGGATAACATCTGAATCTTGCTTTAGATTTCATGGGTTAAGACTTTGAAGCCATGCATGCAGTAAAATCCATGGATCGCACTTTGTTTACCAAACATTAGGGGTAACTCCTGCTGGGATCTGACCTGCTGCATCACAGAAACTGAAGTGGTGGTCAAACCTCAAATCTAATGCTATCCTTCCATCTCCTCCCAATCGCCTGCTTCTAATTTAGAAGCGATGTGCAGAACTGGCTCTTCGGTTGGATTTGAAGTGAGTGTAAATGTACTCACTCTGTTCTCCTTCCTCTCTGTGTGGAAACCAAAAGCCTCCATGTTACTCTGGAACCTGTGCATGAGTGGCCTGCTGGTGATTTTGCGCTGTTTGCATCAGCAATGCTCTGTCTGGAAGCAGCGGGCCATACTCTGCTATTGGGAAGGAGCATCTGCCACAGGTCCAGGGTGTTATGCTGCTCTCTTTGCCTTCTGCCTGGGGTGCAGGGCAGTTTTTGGTGGGATCTTCTGTTTGGAGAAGGGGAACCCAAGATGTTTCAGGGATCTACCAAACCTGGCTGACACTGCTGTTACTGAGTGTCCTCTGCTAGTGCTCATCCTCCCCGCGTGATGTGCTTATGCTGCTGTGCTGCCTCAATCTGGATTCTGGAAGAAATTCTCACTTTGCTTGGAACTGGGCAAACAAAATAAAAGATTGTTCTGGTCACAGAGAGAGCTTCCCTGTAGGTCAGGGGCTAGAGACGATTCATAAATACAAAGAGATGGAGCACAAAGGCACAATGAGATGACAGTGGCCTTCCAAGGCAGCAGTCTGTGCGTACCAGGTTCTGGCTGTTGGTGTGACAGGAAGGGGCTTTGTGTGGGCACTGTTGCTGTTGGACTCCAGAGGTGCATTTGGGAATGTTTATGACAAATGACTCCTGTGTGCGAGGGGCGGTGGAAGCAGCTGGAGCAAGGCTAGAACAAAAGGCTGCTGTGCGACGGCCAAGGCTGACTGAGCAATTAATGAGCCTGGAAGGGTGGCTTTTCATGAGAAGTGAGTAAAGCTAGAGTTCGAAGTGTGGCTAAGTGCGGTCTGGAGAGGGGCCTGACCATGCATATGAAAAGGAGGGGACAAGAATTGCACAGGGACTGATTGAAGGGAGGGAAGGAAGGATGCTTCCCAGCTATGAAATCTCTTAGGCCGTAGCATATTGTTTCAGGGGAAATTCTTGCAATCTTAGTGCTCGAGATCATCCAACCAGACTGGACAAATCACTGGAGAATGTGCTGTTGGGAATAGTCCTGCAGCAGCCCCAGGGAAGATGATTCAACAGGGCCTCTTTCATCTTTAATTTCTATGAACACAGTCTACGTTTGTGCTGCCCCCAGATACTCCCATTCATCACTGTCCGGAGCCAATGTTGATGGCAGCCTATAAGCCTTTTGGGCAAGAGCAGGGAATGCTAGCTATCCCATCCGTGAGCAGGAAACTATCACAGAGGCTAGTTAGCACATGCTGGTGTGCAGCCAGAACGGCCTAGGACGCTGCTGGTGATAACCCCTTTCCAGGCTCTTGCTGGCCAAAGCCAGCACTGTTCCTGCCTGATGCGCTCTGGCTGTTTGCCCAAAGCAGCTCAGAGCGTGTTGCGGGAATACCACAGGGCTTTTTGCTTCCCTTGTAGCTCACTGAACTTGACGCCAATAAACATGGGCAGCAGATAGCCCAGTGTAGAGAGAAAATCCTGCCTCAGCTCGGAGAATCAGAAATGCACAACCTCTCAATTATCTTCTGCCATTGCACCAGAGATGTTCAGCGATAGCTAGATAACTTGAGCACTCAGACCTCTTTCCTGCCTGTCCGCCTTGATAGATGCTGTCTGTAAACTATTAGTGCAAGAAGCTAACCATGTGCAACAGGAGGCCTGGTTCCCACCCCTGCTAGGAGTGCTCTGCAAAATCCAGGGAGCTTTGAACTTGAACTCTGTTAATTACTAAAACACTAATAATGTAAGGCTGATACTCTTCCCAGGACTCAAAATAGAAGTTAGGTGCCTGTTCCTAAAGGGTTGCAGGGGGCTAAAATGGAAATAAATGGAAATAAAAACACTTCTAACCCTTGCTCTCTTCTCCTCCTATAGGAATTCCAGTCTTGTCTTTTCAAAAGTGGAAAGCTCCTCTTCCAGATACTCCATGCTGCTGCGCGCTCTGTGTAAACATCTACAGTTCAGTGTTAAACCCATGCATATTCAGAGTCCACAATAGGTTAAACTCATAATGAGAATGGGAAAAACAAAAGGCTTCTTTCTTAAATTTCCCTTTCTCAACTTACCTTACCTTTCTCAAGAAATAAGATCTACTTGTTTCTTATCCTCACAAATATCTGGACAATTTGAGGCAGAAATAAAATTGTAGAATCTCTTGTTTTCAGACCCAGACCTCATGACCAGTCAGTGTCAGGATAGGGAAAAGACTCTTGGCTCCGCTAGTGATCCGAGAGCCCTCATTAACATCAGAGCAGTCGGTGTGCTACAAACAGAGGTCAAGGCTCGTGCAAAGTTTTTGCTACTTCAGGCAGATAAAACTGCTGTTCTGATAAGAAGGAGATCTCAGGACTCTTATATATGCTCTTTGACCTTAAAGAGTAATACTGTCTGTCCCTGCTTGCATGCTATTCACCTGTGCCTTTGCCAGAGGGTACTCGCCTGTGGCTGATGTGACAGATGGGACCTCATTGCCCTGTGACAGTCTGGCATATCAGCATAAAACCCACCTCTGCTGGCAGCTTAAGCCGAGAGGGTAGACTGTGAACACAGGTGGCTGAAGAGCCAGCATGCATGATGTAAACGGTAACTTCCAGAGGGGCAGGCAGAGGGGACAGTGATACTTTACAGCAGCTCTTAATCCAAGGTATTTGAAGAGTTTTATTCTATTCTCTCTCCCTTCAAATTCTTCTGCCATGGGTGGCTGCCTCTTCCACATCCATTCTTGCAGTGGTAGTGGCTCCGATGCAAGCAGTTGTACGATTTCTTCTCAGAGCAGGGGGGTAAAACCCAGCCGTTCCCAGGAGAGCTGTGGGCTGTTGCCCAGCTCGCTTGCCTCTCATGCGCTCAGTCTGATGTGACTGATGGGGGTTCTGTACTCACAGCTGTCTTGGGGCTATTCCTCATGCTGCAAAGGCTCTTTGTCTCATTCAAAGCCATGACCTCATTTTAGAGACAGAAAACAGAGAGGGAGAAACCCACCAACCTGCCAGTGGAGGTCAAAGGGCTTGCTGAGAGATATGTTAGCATCAAACTTCTCCGGCAGGGACACAAATAACTGGAATTGCAGACCAGAAAATTACCATGAAAAAATGGACTAACTACCATGTGATTACAAAAGAGCCCATTAGTTCTGTGTGTGTCTAGGATTCAAAGTATATCCTTTGAGGAAGAGCACAAGGTCACGCTCCCAAAACTTGAAGCAAAAGGGACTGTATAAGTGCATGCCTTTTGCCTGATGCTCTCCAAGGATTGCCGTGCATGGAGTTTTAGCTGGTTATTCTCCCTCTTTCCTAGGTGCCGTCCTCAGCATGGTGGATGGCAGCAAGTGTTACTTCTGTCAGCATGAGGGAAGGTTTGGTTTCAGTGTTAGGTGGTAGCAACTCCTGCTGTGGTTAGGATTTGTCACAGTGTGGTCCCCTCGCTGCTGCTTTGTAGTCAGCCTGTTGGGGTGCTGCTTGGGCTAGCGAACACCCAGACAGCCCCTTGCCAGGGCGCGGCAGGTTGTTTCTGCAGAATTGGTGGCTGTTGCTGGCTAGGGATCCCTCGATGATCGACTCAGTTTGTGGTCTCACGTGTCAGTGATAGCCATGGCCTTTTCTCTGGCAACTAATTTTTGCTAGCACATGAGAACTGCCCTCTCCACCCCAAGGCTGGTCCCGAAGACCCAGCTGGTGCCATGACTATCACAGCTTTCCAAATAAAGCTAGAAATCACAGAGCTCTCATGTGGTAGAAGTCCTAGCGCTCCCTAGGAGCCACAGTGCACTGGAGCCTGGAAGATGCAAAGTACTGTGTTGGCTTGCTGCCGAGTCAAGCGTCCTGTTACGCAGCATCTGCGCTTTAGCTGGAAACGAAGAGTTCTATTTTCCCAGCCCTGTGATCAGGTATTGCAAAGTGGACACAGTAAAACTACTAGTGTTTCTGCCTTCCCATGGCTGCCTTCCCTACTCTCTACCAGCTGGGAAATTTTTCTCCTTCTACTCAGCGCTAGTGATTAAATCTCAAGTTGTGTGTCATTGTTTTGGGAGCTCAGGTGACCTGTGCAGCAGGACAGCCATGTGTTCTCTGCGGGTGGTAACTTTCCATCAGAACTGGTTTGCTCTTCTCTTTGCCAATTCCGGTTTGCTGGGGTAAGTGCTTTATTGTCTGCTTTCCCTGCTTTGCTCCTGATAATCATTTCTCCGTAAAAAAAGGCTTGTAGTAATGGAAACCTATGAAATCCCATATGCTTGCTTAGGCAGGGCTGAGGGACAGAGGACTTTGTACCTCAGAACAGGGCAGCGATGACTAGAGAAAAAAACTGTTGTGTAATTGATTTATTTAGGTAGCTGCAGCAGGGGAGAATATTGATTAAATGTCCACGTACGCACCCAGAGGCTTCAGAGAGTTTTGTCGAGTGTGGGAGTGCGTGGGGTGACAACGTTACAGCCGCTTGGTGAGGGGCACCGCGGGCCACCAGTCCTGATCCCCTGCAGGAGAGGGTCGGGCTCTCCCCCATGACCAAGTGCAGGCTGTGCCTTTGCGAGTCTCTTGAGCCTGGTGTGCCCAGGGGAGGGCTAACACGTCTAAATGCTCCCCGAGAGCCCCGGGGCCCCTCCGCGCGGGAGCGTGCGTGGGCAGGGCGGTGCGCGTTGCAGCCCGGCGGTTTGGGATGCCGCGGAGCGCGGCTGGAGCTGGTCCGGGATGCCGGGAGGAGAGGAGGGGGCTGAGCCACCTGTTGGATTTTCGCACATGGGGAGGCTGCTGCCCTTTTTAGCAGTGTCTATCTCTTTCTCCTCGCTCCCCGCGCCCTGGTATTCACTTTACAACCAGCCCATTGTGCTGGGGGTTAGAGCAGCTGGGTGGAGTGTTTCAGGCTCAAGTGTAATTTCAGTGCCTTTAAAAGCCTTTGGAGGTGGGGTGCTTTTTTTTTTTTTTTTGGAAGAGGACAGCAACGCCAACAAGGGATAATTTGATGGATTACTCTGCGGGGCTGAGGGGCTCTCCTTAATCCCCTTTGTGGACCTGTTTGACTAGACGCGTAGCAGAAGCCCCCAGCCTCAGGCAGAGAAAAGGCGGCTCAGCGGGGTAGGTTTTACGCGCTGACATATAAATACGGGCGCTGGTCATGTGGTGCCGGATGTAATCTGTGCCCGTTACCACGCTGTGGAGAAGGGGGGCACCAGGAGGGGGCTCATTTTTTCCCTTTCCAATTCAATTTACATTTTTATTCTTCTGCTAAAAATAATAAAAATGAAGAGGGAGTGGAAAAGAGGCCAAATTAGACCAAATGCCAAGGTGATGGGCATGGTATCTTAAAAAAAAAAAAAAACCAACCAAACAAAAGAACTCAAGTGAAAAGCAGAACCAGATCTTTCCCCATTTTCTCATGGCTTCTCATGGGCTTCTCTCATGAATAAAAGCAAGAGCTAGGGTCTTGCGGTATTAAAGCAAAGCTCTAGCTCTCACACAGACCTGAAGGCAACTGAGGAAAGGGTGACCACGAGTGAGGCTCTGAGAGTGGAGGCTGAAAACACTTTGATTGCAGTGTGTGTGTTTAAGAGTGTCTGAGACTTCTGGGTACTTAATGCAATTTAGTGATTAGATGCTGGTCCTGAGCAGGCGAAATGGTGCAAGGACTGTCCTACTGTGTGGCGGGGTGAGTAGTCCTGCTGTGGCTCCTCCAGCACTGCCTTAAGACTCTTCTGCAGCTGAGCCCAACTATATTTATTGGGGGCAGTCAGTTCTTCGTTGCATCATGACTGAACTCGGCCCTCCAGTGCAATCATCTTTTGAGGTGTCCCTGATGGCTGAGCTATAGGCTAACCAGGCGAGGCTACAGCCGCACGGCCTGGGCTCCTGCCTGCCTGCACAACACAGCGCCCTGCTCCCCCCCACCCCGCACCCAGGCTCGTCTTGGTCCTGCTCCTCCCAGTGTGGATCGCAGCGGGCTCTCCCCGGCAGCCTGAAACCCATTGCCGCTGCTCAGCTCCGCAGATGACGTCTGCCAAGCGCAGGAGGGTTAACGCTACCCGCTGGCATTGTGGTGCGCACTTCGCTGATGTCCGTCCCCTTTAGGAGTGCAGCAAGCTCCATAAAGTGTCAGCGTGGCCTCTGCTGAGTCAGTGACCTCGTTAGGCAGGCAGGCGGTTCCTGTTGGTAGCGGGGAGGGGAGGGAGGACAGGCTCCAACTGGCCACTGTTGTTTGCTGCTGTATCTTTTCCTCTGGTCAAACAGGCAGGCACAGGAGTGCAGGCAGCCAAAGCCTGGGAGAAAACCTCCTGCCAGGAGACCTTCCTTTGTCTGCCAGAGGAAGAAGCAGGTTGTGAGACAGGAGGTCAGTGGAGTCTGCTGGCTGCCACGCTGTCTGTTTGATGTTCGCGTTGCGGGGTGAGGGTGAGGATAAAGAGCCCATAGAATTGTTGGCATGGCCTCAGAAAGGAGCATGAAATACCAGAGAAATGCAGGGCAGGGGGGACGGATCTTTCTCCTCTCTGCAAAGTACTCTCCATACGACAGGCTGAGTGTGGACAATGGTGTTAGCCTGCCAGGCTGAGAAAACATCCTTGCCTAGTGCCCCTTCTTAACAAATATCTTGACCTTCTCATCGATCTTGTAGGGACATTCATTTGCTGTCCATAGTTTCTCCCTAGTAAAGAGTATCTGTTGGACTAAGGTGGCTCTGGCCTTGCTAACTGATCGCATATGTCTTGTTGGATGGCAGGGCTCTTCCCTCGCATTAACTTGGCTCGGCTCATGGCTTTAGTGGATCTCTCTTCTGACTGTGCCTTTGCTTTATCTGGCTGGTCAAAGGGGGACAAATAGTGACCTGCTTTACACGCCCTTGCTGCTTACTGTAAAATGCTATCTGAAGGCAAATGGAAGCAAGTATTCAAAATACCCTCAACCTAACCAGCCACTTGCCCTCACAGATCCGCCTTTGCCTGAACAAAATGCTAGTATTGGTATTAAAAAAAAAAAAAAAAAAAAGCCTCCCAAAGCTTCTGCGCGTGTGATTGGGCTGGCTCTGGAGCAGTCCAGCCTTCCTGACTGTTGGGACTGGCCAGCCTCTCAGGTGAGGAAGGCCAACTGTAGAGGGAAAGTCATTAGGTGGCTTGTGCTCCACGCCTGCTTCCTGCCAGGCACAGACATATCCTGATAGCTCTGAAATGGCTTGCAGCTCTGAAATGGCTTGCAGCTCTGAAATGGCTTGCAGCTCTGTGGTCGAGGCAGGAGGAAGCTGGCAGGGCCTGAGATTGCATCTCAAATTCCTTCTCGGCGAGCTCCAGCCGGCTGCAGGGAAGGTGACTGGCTTGGTGCTTATGGGAGACGGCAGCGTCACGCAGCGTCTGAACAGGAACAGTCTAATTTAGTGGTCTGCAGAGTAAATGCAGGTAGGAGATGCAGCCCTCTGAAAACCTGGTGCTAGCTACGGGTGCTTAAAACTTGGGCTCTTCTATTCTCTTTTACTTCTTACTTTCAATTCATAAAACAGAGGTTGTAGTGAATTGCCTTTAGTCTTAGTACATGTGTTGTTGTTGGGCCGGGGATCAGTCTTGTTATCAGGACAGCAGCAAGCACAAAAGAGCCTGAACTAAGCTGTCGTTTTTAGACAGCTCTAAAAGCAAGATAATCACATTGTAGGTACTGCAAGGAAGTAGTTGCAGCAAGGCAGGAAAGAACCTACTTCCATTTCTGATAAGTGTGAATGTTTCCCTTAAGAACCAAACTGCATGGAAGGTCTTGGGAGCTGCCTTGAACGCCGCCATAGCATCTAGCATTCACCCTGGATAAATCTATCTTGTGTCTGGGCTGCCGGGCTCTTTCCTATGAGGAAAAGGAGGGAATTTCAAATGGACTGTGGGACTTGGGTCTTCCTTGTTCTGGTCTGAGGGGATTTCCAGCCACTGCTGCTCTTTGGAGCCAATACAATGGAGCCCGTGAGCTCAAAGGAAATGCAGAGTTAATTCAGAGACTAAATAAATTGCAATTCTCCCATCCCTGCTTAATGACCACTCCCCTCTCCCCACACTGTGAATGGGGTCAAGGAGATTTGGGAGGCGAGGGGGAAGGGGAGGGGGTCAGGAGAGGTCAGGTGAGTTTTCCATTGCATCGCGCACAAGCCTGCCAGAGCTATTCTCCATGGTGTATTTCACATTCAGCTGCGGTGAATGGACACTGATAGCTGTGAAAGGATCTGGCACTGTATGAACAGCCCTTCCCCAAGCACTCACTCTTGTGCTCTCTCCCACCCTTTCTTCTAAAGGGCTTCCAGGGAGTGAGGAATTAATAACATTCATCAGGAGCCCCTTGGAAGGTTGGAAATGTAACGCTGTGGTTATGAATGGAAACTCAATGGCTAACAATACCCTTCGTCCTCCCCTCTCTCTGCTGTCCACTGGGAATAACTTTCTTTCTGCATCAAATCTGCCATGCCACGGTGAGGAAAAGGTGCAGGTCCGTGCTACCTGGGAACTGCCGGACTGGAGCAGCTCCCAGCCGAGCTACCTGCCTAGCATCATCTCCTGTCTCCAGCACTAGCCAATACCACTGCCTCCAACGTTTCTCCGAATGAACTTAGCCAAGGCTGATGTGGGGTAATTTGCTCTCATATAAGAAAGGGCTCAGACAAGTTATTACAGTGCCTTGACAGGTCGCAGATAGTTGTTGAATCTAATCCTCTGTTGCCCAACCATTAGCGTAGCTGTTTGTTCTATTACAGGGTAGGTGAATGACAGTCGTAAATCAGAGAAGCTGCTATTCCATTTAATGATGTCTCCCGTCCCTTCTGCACCCATGTAAGTGACTGGAAAGGTTAGAGAGGCAGGATATGGATTCTTATGAGGAAAACATGAGCTTTTCTCAGTAATGCCTCTCCCTTAATTTTCGTTCTATCTAAGCAGTGTTCAGAAGCAATTACTTTGAAGATCTTGTGTTACAAATATTTGAGGTGATCAGGAGGAAGAGAGACTTTTTCCTGTCTTTGCTTGTGCATATCCATTAATGCTCCGTGCATAATCCACTTTCTCCAGGTGTCTCTGGCTTTGTTTCATCTAAAGACAAAAGGTGTGGTTAAAGTCTGTTAGCAAGGATACACAGGGCAAGGTCTGCATGAGCTGAGAGAAAGGAAGTGGAAGGTTGGCTCATGCCAGCTATTGTGTAGTTTCGTATCAACGAGCCCGTACATCTGACATCACCAGTAAATTCAGTCCTGTTTCCGTGTGTGTCTGTGCACCTGCTGGTGCTTGTGTCTGTGAGATTGTGGGCTTCGTAGATAGGGGCCGTGCTGCATCTGTACCACATCTACAAAGGAAGACGTTTGTCAAAACTTCATAGCCTGTTAGCTGGGAACAAATTCTGGCTAGGGGAAGTGCATGGATCCAAATCTGCTGGCCCACTGACTTAAAATAAATGGACTCTTAGAAGTCATTTTCCCTGGCTTCATCCCTGTTCCTTGCTACTTTAATCCCTGCAGTGTTGCCAAGTCCATTGCATTTAGCAGTCGCAGACTGCCCGGCTTCTTCCCTGTCCTTCAGAGAGCGTAAATGAGAGAGGAGAGAGGATATAGGACACAGCAGGACTGTGAGAGGTGCAGTCCTTTCTGCTTTGGTTCCTATTGCTGAAAAAGGGTCTCTGTCCCAGTTTAGGTCCAGGCAGAGCCTTGGGTTCCCCCTGTCTGGCCAGTGCTGCTCTCCTCTCCCTCTTCACCTCCCCCAGGACCCGCCCTCCTACCTGCTTGCCAGGTGAACCAGCCTCTCTGCGTTGATCTGTTGTTTCTCTGCAGAGAAAGGAAAAGCCATTTCCAGTTTGGTTGGCAAGCTGAAAAAACAAGCAAGAACCCTGTGTTAAAGATGCTTTGACCCTCCTGCGGAGGCAGAGGAGGAGCAGAGGGAGAGCCTGAACGCTCGGCAGCAGATGATGGCCCGGTGGCATGACAGCTCTCTGAAGAGCTATGCAAAAGCCCCACATGTGGCTCCCTTCTGCTTCTGTGTACAGGAAGCCTTACACTGAAGGGCTGCTGTGGCCTGTATTTGCAGGGGCTGGCTGTCCTTGCCTGGGGCCTTGTTATTGTGCTCCCTAGAGAAGAACAAATATTGTCCCTATTTGTTTGGGGAAACTGAGGCAAGAGAGCAAGTGACTCATCTGTCATTCAGCTCTTCTAACCAGCTGTCCCTCTGTCTGACTGTGAAAGGTCTTCACACCATGAGATGTCAGATCCCACTGGGCTGGACAGGCTGTGGCCTGCTCGGATTGGGCCTGGATATGATGGTCCTGTAAATGTAGTGGTTAGACCAGGATCTTCCAGTTAGGAGATGCTTTGCTTGTGTTACAGAGCCTGCCAGTGTTACAGAACATCAGACTCAAACCAGTCCTCCTGCACAGTCTGCCAGATAAATTGTGCTGGAAGAGACTAGCGGCTTAAATGAAGCGTTTGGTCTTGCCGCTGGGACTGTTACTTAGAGCCAGAGTGACACCTGCAAAACTGAGGGGAACATCTCATTGTCTAATCCCAAGTACTAAAGCTGTCTCTGCTTGCTGGTTCAGCCCCAGACCCCTCAGCAGTGAAGAGCAGCCAGGCTCTGTACATGGTACTTCTACTGAGGGGTAGGAGCCCTGTTTGGCAAGTTCCTGCCCTCCCCCGTGCTCTGCTGATGCCTGTAGCATGGAAGAGGTATTTGTGATGTGCCAGCAGGCCCGCAAGGGAAGGTGACAAGTGTTGACACCAAGACAGGTCTTCAGGCAAAGTTCAGATGTAAATGCAGATCCTGGAGTTTCCTTCTGAGCTATTTTGGGACAGGAGTGACAGAGCACGCAGCAAGAGTGAACAGTGTCCCTTGTCGGGCCAGTGCGGCAGCCTGTGTTTGCTCAGCGCCTTGCGCGAGGGGCCCAGGCGCAGGTGTGGCCGTAGTGCTAATAACGCCCTAGTGCACTGCGTTATCAGGAGGCAGGGAGGGCCCTGAAACCAAACCTGCGTGTGTACCTGCAGCTCAGTTCCACCTCTGCCTGCTGACTACTTGGGCAGCTTTTCCGTGAAGGCTGGCTTTAGGAAGTACCAGCTCTGTGGGCAGTGGAGGGATCACTGTTGCTTCTCTGCGTGGAGCAGGTGAGTCCTGGCTTCTGGACTTCTCTCAGCTGGGCTCCTGTGAGCCTCCCAGATCTTCCTTTTCTGTCCCTCTGCCCCGTCCTTACAGATCAGTGCTCTTATTCTGATGCTTTTCCTAGTCTGTGCTGGCATTTCTTTCCAGCTAAGCCATGCTATCTGTATTTTGTGGTCAAAATAAAGAGACATTTAATGGGCATTGGGACAACATATAGTAGGCAGTGAGCATTGCATCTCTGTTCCAGGTCTAGCTCAGGAAGAAGGTGGCTCAATTACTTTTGGCTCAGGAGCCTGCTGCCTCTAGATAACAGCACCAAGGTTTGTGCTGTTGGAGCTGGAGGGCTGCAGTTTAAATTCCTATCCCAAGGCTGTCAGCCAGCTGGGCACCGCTCATAAACGAACAAGGCTGAGACATCCTGTGTCTAGCCCACATCTAAGAAAGGTGGTTGCTGCCCCCAGTCGCTTCCTTGCACAGAGAGTGCCTCTAAAGTAATGCTAAGCATATCTGGGGCCTCTGAGTATTCCTTTGAAGTGATGTCTAGTGATTAAAGGAAAACTGCTGTTGTTCCCCCTCTGCCGTTAGCTTGCTATTTGACCTTGGGCGAGTCATTTGAATGTTCACTGTTGTTAGGAGATATCCTTTGTGACAGTGGAAGTCTAAGGGAGCGTGGAGGAGGAAGGTTGGTAACTTTGGTAGGAAAGTAATCAGTATTTATTGTGTGTAATTGGCAGCCCATACACTCCTCAGCTCAGGAGCGGTCTTTCTTTTTCCTCCACAGCAGTGAGAGGTAGAAAATGATGCTTGCATCTTTGCAAAAAACTCATCACCACACTTCCAGCTTCACCCAGGTATCTCTGTGTGGGTCCTTTGGCTGCTGGTAAGAAGAGAAGAAAGGGGAAAAGGAGAATTCAGAAACCTTCCCAACTGCATCTGTCTACTTCTGACACTAGCGCAGCTGCTGAAGTTAGAGAACACTAATTTGTACAGAATTTGGTGACAGCGTGGTGTTTTAGCTCTGCCCTGTGTGGTTGTGACAGAGCTGTGGTCCAGCATGCTCCTGGGTTCAGTGGTTCCTCCTTCAGGGTTAGCCTTTGTCAGGGGCTCCGTAGACCTGGCTCAACCCTCTGCTGAGCCGCCGCTCCAGATCCGGGAGTCTGACCCGCTCCGCCTTGCATGGCCTCGAGCACTGGGTGCCTCTGTGTGGAGGAGGGAGGGCAAGTGTTTGCCCCGGGGATGCTCCTTGTGGGAGTCTTTCCCTTCTCCCTGTAATTGAAACAAAGAATTTAGAGGGGGGCAGGGCTGCAAAACTGGATTTTCACCTAGTTTCTCCTGCTGGGATCACTCTCCCCGGTTAAGTAAGCGGAACTCCATGCCAGTTAGCTCCTCTAGCGTGGAGGGGGTGTGCAGGCAGGTAGGTACTGCAGTGACAGTTACCCCGTGGTCAGGGAGGGAGCAAGCCGAGATAAACTCCTCTGCCTGCATGTCTTGCATTCTGTTTGGCCTCCTTCATCCAGAAGGACCCAAAGCACTTGTGGACTCTGCTGCAGACAGTGACATGGCAGCCATGTCACAGTACCCGAGAAGCCAAGCAGCAGTTGGATACAAAGCAAAAACCTGTGTGCGAAGAAGAGTGTAGGGGGTCCCTTCCACAAGCGGGTCATAAGCTGAAACACATTCAGGACAGCAGGGGCTATTGTGCCTTGTCCCCACAGAGAAACTCAGCAATCGCTCACTTAACATGTGAAGTTAGAACATGTGAATTCTTGAGAATTAGGCTGCACTTTGACTGTTCTACTCCTTTATCAGTGTCTGTGCAGGGGCTTAATGTCACCCTTCTTGCTAACCCATTCTACCCTTCCCAGCCTAACCAGAGACTATCTTCACAAGGTGCTTTTAGCAAAACAGCAGTTTGGTTGACTAGACTACATGCAATTTACCTTGCAGGATTTCTTTCATTTGCAGACTCTCCTAACGGCAGGCTCATAACAGGTTACTAAGAGGCATCTGCTTACTCTTGCCTCAGTTGCTTAGTCCCTGTCCTGATCTGCTGGCCTCTCCCCTCTGAAGAAGGCTGGAGAAGAGGGCGCATGTTACAGGGCAAATAAATGACTCAGACTAATGAGTAAGGTAATTGCCGTTCACTGTTAGACAAGGCTGAACTGGGTCAGGTTTGTTTGTGAAACTCCGCAGATGCACCATCTGTTCTCTGTGCCCCGTCTCAAGGGCTGGAAACAGAGTTTGGGTGAAACTGCTTCCCTGGGAACTGCGGAGCAGAGGGGAAGATAGCTCGGTCATTAAGCAGCAGCGTGGGTCTCCGGAGACTGCTCTGTGTGACTGCAGGCAAGTGACTGCAGCCTTGATCCTCGGAGGGGACTCTTAATTGATTTCACTGGGAGATGGGACCCGAAGTCCGTTCTGAGGATCAGACCTTTGTCTCTCTGCTACAACTGCCCATCTATAAGATGGGGCTGGATGGGATGCTGAGAGGTCATTAGGCCTCCCTGTGCCCCAAGGCAGGATTGGATTTTCCCAAACCATTTCTGACAGGTGTCTATCTCACCTGTCACAAGCCCTTGGAGAGAAACCCAGTACAAATGTAGGCAGTGTCTTTTAACTGGAGACTTCTCTCAAGTGCCCTCTCTTCATCCTCTCGTGTCTGTCCGGAGCTGGTAAGCGTGTCTCTTTCAGCTGGGACATGCCTGTGCGATATCTGTGCAGTGCTGGTTATAGTCCTTTTCCGTGCGCTGGAACGTGTTATTTCTAACAGGCTCTCTCTCCTCTCAGAGTGCAGCATCTGAACGGAAGGGAAGGCCTGGAACGGGAGCCCTGCCTGCCCACGCCTGGACTCAGCACTGCCGGGCCACATCTTGCAGTAAGAGGAGGAAGAAAAGACCGTTCCTCCACGGTTGCTAAAAATGGGAGGCAGCATCTGTCCAGCAGACGAGGAAGAGAAGCTCCAGACCTTGTTGTCTGCCTGTGGGACATCCCTGGGAGTGCTGCAGATGGAGTGACGCAGCCCTCTGTCAGTAAGGGGTGTCAGGGCAGCATGGCACAGAAAGCGTGGATCAGCATGCTATTCCATAACCGCAAGGCCCAGCTCCTGCTGGTCAACTCCCTGACGTTTGGGCTGGAGGTCTGTCTGGCTGCAGGGATAACCTATGTGCCTCCACTACTGCTGGAAGTGGGTGTGGAGGAGAAGTTCATGACCATGGTTCTGGGTAGGCAGTTTGTCTCCTCTTTGAGGTGCTCGTTTCCTGTGCGAGTGTGAA